TTGTTAGATGACAACAAAAGAGGGAGGAGAAAATAAATTAACAACCATAAAGAGAGAGAGGATGCAAAATAAATTTAAAATAATTAATTAGTAGATCATCTAGCCACTTGAAGTAAACATATTAGTGTAATAAAAATTTCCACCAATTTTAGTCATAATCTCAAACTTCGTTCAAACCATAGATACTACAATAATCAACTATTAAGGGAAAATCAAATGAGCAATCATGCATGCCAAATCTCATTCTAATCATTAAAATTGAACGCCTAAGCTAGATCTAGAGATCATACCAATAGGTCCAGTACCGTATTTTACTGTCTAAAGTTTCTTGAACTCTACCTTAAACCCCCTCGACGAAGCGTTTCATGTCTCTTAGACTCTAGCTCTTCCTTGTTATTCTTTTTGATCTCCAACTTTTCCAATTCCAGATTTTACAACGGTAAATTGATATTTCTTTTGAAAACATTTATCGGTGGAAGATCAAAGCCTTCTCTTGTTCTTCTCGATAGTTTGTTGATCATAGCAAAACATGGAGAAATAACATCTCGTCCTAAGGAACTTGAAAAATGCTCAATCTAAAGTTAATTTTGTGGCCAAAACGCGATTGCGGCACCTATAAACTGTGACTGGCGCACTAAACTGAGACAAGAAATTGTAAATTAAATATTTAATATATTGAGAGTGTGAGCATAAAAACAAAAATATGGATTTCGTACCTTGGTCCAAATATAGCTTTCATCATATTTGAATTTTGTTTGGCGTTTGATCACCTCCCATGTTACCATGTCTTTCATAGATTTTTTTTGTTGAGAACCATCCCAGATCAGACCTTGGCTATTGAAAATTCACAAGCATGAAACCCACGGACTAATAAGTAAGTTTCTTAAAATCTCTGGATCATGCAAGTAAATAGAGAAATTGTGCAATGAAAAACCAACAGTACACTAAAAATGGCATACAAAGTAATCTCTCGTCACCGTAAACCAGGAGAAGTTATCGAAAGCAAGAAAAGAGAGAAACACACCGTAGAGATCGAGAGAAATTTTGAAACTATTGGCACCATGAATGTATTCCTCTTCGTTCCTTATAGGTGAGAGCCATTAGGCATTGCGCATCATAGGTTCCAGCATCGTACCATCTTCACAAACCAGATAAGACAACATTTCAACAGTTAAAAATGAACGAGATCTAGCGATTTCCCAAAACCAACTATAACCCAGTAATATACAAACGAACCACCTCGACGCTTGCCACATAACTCCATCTCATTTCTCAAATATAAATTCTGATATTGAAAAATGTCAAGTCGTTTTTTTTTTTATGTGTCAGCAATGTGAAAACCGGGAACTTGCGAACGACAGGAGAGACAAACATTGATTTAAGATGGTGTTGAGTAACTTGAGGAGTGAACAGAACGAAGACATACATAGATTGCTCATGAAACTCTATAATTCCTCCAGAAGGAATTATCACTCATATGTTGTGGTCCAAGTGCAATCCGCAAAGATGACCAGTCTTAGTGTTAGCCTTTCCACAAGCAGAGCATGCTCATTTTGAGCATCCATCACTTCAAAGTCTGAATATAGAAGTGAAAAAGACTTGATTATGAAGTTCATTACAAGGCATAAAGAAATAGTACAACCGAGAGAATTGAGACAAATGAAATTAACAATAAATACCAATCATGAAGTCCTATAAGAGAGTTGAAAGATAGTAATATAGAAAACCCAAAAGTAATTTTTTTACTTTCTTACAAACTAAAATTTGCAGCTATGTTAATTTAATTACCCTTGATGTGGTTAACACTTAACACAATGTAACTAGACCCTATAGATTATGAATTCTCCATGCAAGAGCGACCTTCTTCACCTGATGCATAAGTATCCTATGATTTCTGCATGCAGCCGTGGAAAAACATAAACAAAACAAAACACTTGTTAAAGCCATTAATTGATAAAACCTCAGAGTTAGACTTGAAATGTAAGCCTAAACAAAAGAAATATGTCGTTTCAATTTATTATACAGCTCAATCAAACCACCCATAAACTTTATAATGGAGGTCGGCTAGACATACTTACCGCTGAAGAAGAATCAGAAACTATAACAAATGGATCACTACGTTTGACATCGATTTCCTGGGACAAGTATCCTTTCTTACATAAATACCAAGCAGAGACGTGTATCTACGTATTCGGATCTTACCATCGATTCTGCCTTGAATCAGGGCCCCTGATCATTGTTGGAGGAGACTCCAATTCTTATCTGGTGACGAATGACAGCAAGGTTACACCAACCTCTCTATCAGTTGCAGCTGCGACGTTCTTAATACCCATTAATCACGAAGCGGCAATCGAATTTAGATTTTTCAGGGAATCCATTGTGTTAGATGTGTATGTGTGGACCTTTGATTTGGCTGTTCGGTCGCCGGCAAAAAAATTGTACGACGAAGATTCATCCACAATCCTTCGATCAAGCGAACAGGGATCCATCCAACACACCCTTCATCGAGTTCCTCGTTTTTATGAATCTTCACAATAACGAAATAGGCTACAGAATCAACGGAAAGCTTTGAAGAGGGAAGATGATTTATTCTCAAGTAGCATGAACGACATCAGTTGGAACGGTAGATGAAAAGCAATTCGAGAGAAGATGAAAGCATAGATACATAGGATAGGGTGTAAATGGTACCCGAGAATTTTGCAGAATCTTATATAATTTTTTGTGAACTTTTGCACAATCTTGCGGAATAACCTTAAATTCAAATGGTAACAGCTGTATCTTGCCAAATTTTTGAAAAACTAAATTAGTTAAATTTATGAAAAATATAAATTGTGTTTGTCGAAATTAAATATTTATGTTTATAAAGATATTAAATTTTTCAAAATTATTAATCTTTTATTCAATTATCTCCTAAACCCAACTTATTTCATTAATATTTTGTTTTCTATTATGGTTAGCAAAATTTACAAATATTTTTTATGGACAATTTCAAAAATGTCATTTTTGATGTGTTCATTTTCAAAAATATCACTACGGATTATTTATTTTAAAAAACTTCATTAATTAAAAAAAAAAGTAAATGCTAAATGTTAAAATTCTAAACCTTAAAAAAAGTTTTGACTCCTAACTACTCAAGTAAAAAGGGGTAGATGCATCAAGATTTGCATCAAGTATCAATGGAGGAAAGAGATTTCTGAAGATGCCATGTGTCACTCAGGATGTCATGTGTCACTCAGGGCATTTTTTAAGAAGCTCTGTGTCACTCAGGCTCCAACAGAGAAGTCAAAGTGTTAAAGTCAACACGCCAGCTACTGTGACAGGTGGCGCCTCGAGCCGTGTGAAGAGTAAGTTGGCGTTTGGTGTAGAGGAGCAGCTCGGGGAATACGGAATAAAGTGTTGACATTATGAAGAAAGCGTAAAAGGTGAAGCATGGAGCATTCCTTAAATGCGATGGGACATGTGATACAGTGTTTCACTGTTGCGTAACAGTGTTTTGTCTGCTGGTCAAAAGCATGATATTTGACTCTACTTGGTAAAGTGAAGACGAATATAACTGGGTGATAGTGCTTCGTTTTCAGTGGTTCTTCTCGCACAAAAATAAACCAGCGTGAGTGAAAGAGATTTGAAGAARTCAAAAACCCWGAAAAHGGAMWTTGGAGWGWMGAGTGAAGAACAGAGGTTTCGCAACTGCTGTTGCGTACAGGTTTGGGTAGATTAGGAATATGTCCAGGAGAAAATCACAATGAGTGGTGTTGTGTAACTCTGGGTAGAATAGGATCGTTGAATCTGTTCTATAGAAGTATTCTTGTAATCTATCTGTTGCAGCAGTGCTGTGTGTAGCAGGTGCTACGGCTTCGTAACTGTTGTTGGGTTGCATTCTTGGGTAGATTAGGAACACGTTCTGGGTAGAATAGGATTGTGAATCTGTTCTATAAGACTGTTCGTGTAATCTATCTGTTGCACGAGTTGCTTTGTAAAAGCAGATGTGGTGAATAACAATAAAGACAAATTATTTTATTGGAACTGCTCTGTGTTGTGCACTATATTTCTGTTTGTATCTTGTGCTAGGGTTCCTACTTTTTCAT